ATTTTTCAGAAACTATTAGCTTTACCTACCTACACATATATAGTTCCGAGTAAAACACATTAATCAAGTAATTGTTCATAAATAAATGAGGTATTCCATAAACTTTAATTACGACTAACTAATAAGTACGGTCAGTTTGTTATATGAAGTAATATTATATTCCATATCATCTATAAGATATAGGACTTTGATTCAGCTTCCTATTTCCAAACAAAAAAATCAGACCAATTAATTCTGCATTGTGACATGAAAGAAATACAAACAAACTCACTTGCACAATGGATGAACACAGGGATGATGACGGGGTATGAAAATTAAAAATCTAATTAGTCCGTCAGTTAGAACACGAAAAAATATTAGACACGTTTTTTTTATTTTGTCATACAAGAAAAAAATGCTTAAGTAGATAAAACGAATCAAAGTTTAGGAGTGGGAGCGAAACGGTATTTCTACGTATAAAACATGCCTAGAAGTGACGTCACACGATATTTCAAATCAGTATATCGTCGAAAGTATTGGTTTTTGTAAGAAAAATAAAAATACGTGTCTTATGTTTCGAAATAATCTACCAGACGGACATAAAAACCAAAATTAGTCATCTACCCTATTATAGAATTAGTAAGAATTACTAAAATATTTTTTTATAGGTAGGTATATTATTTTTTACGACTAGTCAAGATGCAAGCGGTCGCCGGTGACCGCTCTCCAGATACACCATTATAGACACTATTTCCGATGTGTAGAGACTACTTTTGTATGAACAAATTTTGTGGATTTTTCTTAATCGGACATTAACGAGTTAAGGGTTCATCAGAGTAAGTACTTAGGTATCTGTAAGCATAGTAGGCAGATAGAGTATCAGTATCAATATTTCACTTCACAGCCATTACCATTTCATTCAAATATATCATCAAGGATTCTCAACGTTCAATTGTTTCTGTTAACACGTCCTTTATTCAGGGCTGATTTTGCCAACGCCAGATAAATTTTAACTGAAGAATAAGTTTGAATATTTGATAATTATTCCATACTAGTCAAAAATCAATTTTATTCGACAGTCAAAACCTAACTGATGATTGATAAATCAGCCCTTTGTTGGATATCCTTATCTTACTTGTAGTCCTACACATATAATAGTTCAATTCAATTGATTTTGAAAATTAATTTCGTGTTTAATAATTTATTGATCGCATATATTTATATTAAGTTGCTCGATCTTGTTCGACTGTTATATATAGTCTAACCGTTCTAAGTGCATGCTGTGTTAGCCAGTAAGTGGTTGTTACACTCACCAAAGTCATCTGTAATGAATGACTGTTGGTTGACCTAATAAATAAATAAAATAAATCATGACGAACAAAAATGTAAACGGTAAGTAATGTAAACTTTGGTTTTGGTAATGCATGGTTCGTCCACTGCTTTAGCAGCTTTAGTTACTATATGTGAATATTATTTCAAGTTTCTCTTTGAGTTTTATTTGTTTTATACGAACGTTGATACTATACGACCTACAAATCAAAGAGCATCTTGATGCTTATACACGAAGAAGGCAAATACGATGGTAAGTAAAATTAAAATAAAACATCTTAGAAAGCGATTCATTATCGACTACAGACACATATCAAAAGTAAATTTATTTAAGTCTATTAAGACGCTAGTCATAAACATGATTTGTCTAAAATAAATTAAAGGAAGTCGGTTAAAATGATATTTTACACAAAAACATGTAAAATGCAATTTACAATAAAATCGCGGACGGAGCGAAATGGATGCGCTACGGCTACGGCGTAGTAAGCATCGCGCTACGGAGCGACTACGCATTCTGTAATGGGGCTCATGGTGAATATTTCAACAGACAGTGAGAACTTAATCTTCTATAGACGTAAAAGTTTACATAAAATGTGAGAATGTGTTTTACAACATAAGTATTGGAAATACTTTACAGGTACGAGTGCTGCGACGTAGCATGTTGTGGTAAAACTGCGCGATCCTACAAAGAAATCTTTCAATTTCGTTTTCATCTAAATGGTAAATTGTTTTATTTAAATAGGAGCTCCACATAGGTACAACTCATAATACAATTTAGAGTAATACATCACATGACATGTTAGAAAAGATCGATATTGGGTCGCTTTCTAAAAATGTTAATTAATAGGACCCGGCATTGTCATCAAGTGCTTAAATACAATTTTTTTGTGAATCAAGTCAAGAGTAAGATTATAAACTGGGTAATAATAAACTGTAACTCTTTAGTCATAAGATGCAATATTGATTTGTCGACAAAAATGAACCTTGATAAACATGTCTTCTATTAATTTTACCTTTTCTTTTAGTTTCACCTAACATGAAAGTTATTTCCAGCTTCTAACATCATCACTCAGCACAGCTCAACACAGCATGACACAGCTTGAAGCCCAAAACAACTATTGGGCACTGCACAGGACTAGTTACCCGAATATACTCTTGTGCGTGTTCTAATAGTTGTTGTCGGAGCTTCACACTCAACGGTCTGCGCATGCGACGGAGCCGAACGAGGATTTATATTAAATTGTAAATATTTACTGTGTGTACCCCTCTTTGTGATTTTGTGGCTAGTAACCCTAATGTAAAAGTGCTCCTAATAACTTTTTGGGACGATTGTGTTATCCTTTAACTCCCAAAAAGGTAGAGGTTTTCAAATACCGTTAACGGGTGACTAGCATTCAAATGGTGAATAGATACAGGATTGGGGTGAATAGAAGTTAGAAATTTTTCGCAACATATATTCACCCCTCATCTGTAAATTCAAATATGAATAGATATTCACCCCTTGAATTCTATTCACCCCATTTTACCGATATGTATTTTAACACAATCGTTTTAAGTTATTGTTTATTAAATTCGAAGAAACCTGTAATACCTGTATGCTTTTGTATAATTCTCCTCTTTTCTATGTATTTATTATTGTGCTAATGTTGATATTATGTAACTTATGCCTCCCAACTTACCCTATAGTTATTTAAACCTGTGTATGTTTATAATCATAATTTTGTCATTGAACTAGCTCTTGCTTAATACCTAACCATACTTATGTACTACATAATATTATGTGTAGTTACCGTATACTTTATGGGTATTGGTGTATTAAAGAAACTATTTCTTTTAACTCTGAGAGTGAAGATTCATACCCACTCCATCAGGATCAAAATTAAATCGTAGGTAGGTACTTATATGACTTTCGGGACTAAAATGTTTATCGGTATACATTAAATAAAAAACACAAATATTGCAATTTAGAAAGTTTATTGGAATTGAAAAACACGTCAGTCTTAAATGTCTAAACAAATGTAACTGCAACAAATATTAAATTACACGGTAACAGGTGAATTATAAACATTTGTTCTGACCAATGTACTTCTGGAACTTATAAAAACTTTCTTACGACACAAAATTGAATCTTATGTCCGTGTTATAAGGACACTAAAGTCGAAATAAGTCACTTAGAACATTCTTTGTTTAAGATACGCGTTTTATCACTCCCGCAATAGTTTTGAAGAAATAGACGATAACATAGGCTTAAACAAAGTATATCCTTAGCTATTATTTATTCCGACATCTGACTAGTTATATAAAGAAACCATATAGCGGTTCATATTATTCTTAAAAACATGAGCACGACAACAAAGGAATGACTCAACATATCATAATTAGGCGGAAATTAATTCAACTAAGATTCAAACTTTCGACTAACGTTCTGCACTATGAATATATGGGGCAATAAGCTTACTTAATTATAAATCGTTGTATATTTTAATGACATAATTTAAATACAAGAATATCTGAAAAATCCAGTCCTACACACAGACAGTCATCATTTCTTTTCAAAGATACAGAAGTGCGACTCTCGTTGATAAAAATCTACTTAAAAATAAAAAAACGAAACATGTATACAGCGCAATAGTACGGCAAACAATAATTTGATCATTAAATTAAAAAATAACTCAAAATGTTTTGAAGTTGAATACTAAAACAAAAGTACAACGAATAACAAAAACTACTATTCGTATAATATTGTCATATTACAAGTCTGTACGATACATCGAAATATAAAAATGCAACTATATATTATTAAAAGATGTACGAAGAGTATATAGCATAATTAATATTATTTATTTGAATACAGAAATAATTTATTATTAGATAATTGTATTAATACATCAATCTGAATAGTACTGCTTATGTTTCTGTTGTCATACTACATGATTAAGATAAATCTCAAAATTGCGCTGCTTTAGCTTGATTTGCTCAACCACGTATTAATCGTTTGTGTTTCTGGATCGTACGTGGATCCACCCGGACACAGTGTATTCTTATTGTGTCTCAAATGGTGCATTCAAGCTGTTAAAATAGAAGTATGGTAAAAAAGAAGGAGGTCCATACCCAGCATTAAGCAAAACTGAGCTGAAATGGTGATAATAATATCTGTATATTATATTATTATAGGTATAAAAGAAAATTGAGTTAGTTACACTATTTATAACTAAAGAACGGCTAAATCGCTTTGGCTGAAATATGGTGGGGATGTAGCTTAGAACCAAGAGACGGATATGGGACACTTTGTACCCAAGAATTTCCCGAAAATCCTACGGGAACACGAAAAACGGGTATTAGTATTTCTATAAATAACAAAGATATAAAGGCTTGCTTATAAAACTATTCAATTATAACTTAAGCCAATTGTATGGATTACATAATAGTTTTAAATACGACTAAAACCAGAAGACCTATAATATAATTTTTCTCACAAGAGACTATTAGAACTTTGACACATAAATATTGTATTTGAGCTTATGTCAAAATTCTATAACTAGTTAGCAAACCAAAGGAGAATTGGTGTTAGAGAAAATCAAGCCAAAACAGCTTTTGAAATTGAGACTTTATATGGTAAATCATTTGATCGTTTATCGAAGCGTCAGTCGTTATAAATAGTTAATGCCCGGTATATTAAAGCCTGTCTATGTTTAGTCTTCCTTAGGTTTTGCTTTAGCCGCGTCGCCGAAGAGCATCAGACACATGGTAGCGTGGAGACATGCCTTCGCTGGGAGGAACTTCTCGTCAAAGGTGAGAGAGTAACGGTACATCCACACTGCGGGCTCGTATTCCGACTAGAAATGGGTATGTTTTATGTAAATAACACTAATATTAAATAATTTATATGACTATTTTTTACTTCAGGAGGATGAAATAGCCAATTACATCATCTGTATCGACATTTTTAATGAAAAAATCACGCAAATTAAAGATACATTTTCGTTCCTTTAATGAAAAAGATTAAAACATTGATTACAATTTGATTGAAATATTCATTTAAACTGATTTCAGGTGATGGGATCGGATGACATCAGAAAGTCAAAGAGTTTCGAGAAGCGAAGATGGGCAACATCAGAATTTACCAGCTTATGGAATATACATAGTCGAATATTACACCAGGTAAATAATTACATATCATAAATTTCATTAATATATGTAATGATTGGATTATTTGGAGATAAAATAACAAACCACGTGTTGCTCTGTAAATCAAAGATTTTATTTAACAAAAACATAACATATTTGGGTACACTAATAATCTAGTAATAAAATAATAATGATCATCTCACCTGTAAATCAAAGAAACAACGATTAAGCCTATTATTTAAATTCCAAATTCTCCCTTTTATCTATTATAATTACATTCCGTAAGATATTCAATTAACACGTCTCTTGTTTTGACAGTTCTCAATCCATAGATTCTAAATGTTATCTATGGTAACATAAAAAAGTTTAATTACTTAAATCTCATATGAACAATAATTATTAAAGAAAATATAATTTCTTTACATCTCCCCTTCCCAAAAATAAAAAAAAAATCTTTTTTTTTAACTGTTACACACAATAGTTCAAATAAACTGATTTGTGTTAAAATAACATAATAAAATTCTCTTATATACTTAGTTAAACTAACAATAATATATTCCTAACTTAAGTTATAATAAACGATATAAATCACCTTCTTAATTAGGTAGGTAATGGAATGAGTTTAGTGATATGAAACAGATTTGATTCAGATTTTTTATGACCTGTATCTATGTTATAAATAGAATTTGTAATTTTTTTAATAATTTTATACGGACCAATTTTTAATTCATCTAATTTATGTCTATTCAATTTGTTACCGTTTTCTACATAAACCATATCCCCTGTATTGAAATGATAGTGAATTCTATTTTTATCATACCTCTTTTTATTGTTGTTATGTGATTTTAATGAATTTTCAAACGCTATTTTCTTATCTTTTATCCAATCATCTTCTGTTTTATCTACTTTTAAATCGTTTGGTAAAAAGGAAACGTCTGTACCGTCTAATAAGTATTTTGGTGCAAATCCTGTAACTGTATGTTCTGTATTATTATATTTATCTACACAGTCATGGGCAATGGTTGTCCATGCTTTTTTATTTTTATTACTCTCATTTAATTTGCATCTTATTTTATTAACAAGCGTTTGGTTAAGCCGTTCGTTTAAACCATTAGAGAACGGGGAATTTACAGCAGTAAAGATTAAAGGTATTGAATTATTATTCAAAAATGATTTAAATTCCTTCGAGTTTATTCCCGGGTATTGATCAGAGAGAACCATCCCTATAGTATCAGATTCTGTTACCTTATTAATAAGTTTTATAAAATCATTAGCGTTTTGTGTCTTTGAAGTAAGAATGTAAGCATATCGGGTAAAGTGGTCGACTAGAAGGTGCAGGTACTTTTTTGTTGATCTTGAGCCACCAAAACCTCCAATTGTATCTATTGAGACAATTTCAAAAGGTTTTGTGGCTGGACCTAACTGTGACAGTAGACCATATTTATTTTTCCCTCTGCTTTTATTTTTTATACAGATTTCACAGCTTTTACAATGCTTTCTTATATTTGCAGATAAATGTTTTGCTGTATATAATTTACTTATTTTTTTTGCATTTGCTTTATACCTAAGTGGTACATGCTTTCGTGTAAATATTTAATAAGTTTTTTACTATAATCTTCTGATAAGACAATCTTTTCTTTATTTTTAATATTTTTATAGTATATTTTATGTTTCAGTATTAACTTTAATTTACTATTTTGTAAGTCTAAATTATTTTCTTGATCTGTAATAATATCATTTAATGTTATCATGTTTACAATTTTTAACTGTTCATCTTCATCTTCATTTGCATTTAATACTGGATTCCTACTCAAACAATCTGCTTCAGTGTTTCGTTTACCTGGTGCATATTTTATTATAAAATTGTATTGTGATAAATAATAGGTTAAAGCCCCTAATTCATCATCTGTCCTAGATTTAATATTTAAATTTTCTAGTGGTTTATGATCAGAATACACAGTAAATGTTTTACCTATAAGCCAATATTGCCAAAATCTTATAGCTTCCTTTACAGCTAGGCATTCTAAGTAAATTGCTGGTTTTTTTTTCTGAGCTTGGTTTAATTTTTTTGAGAAGTATGCTACTGGTTTATCTACCCCATTTGGCTGTGTTTGTTTTAGAACTGCTCCAATACCTTCTAAAGACGCATCTGTATAAATCTTAATGGGCAAATTATGATCAAAAATCTCTAATATTGGTTGTGAGCATAATAAATCTTTAATAATGTCTAAAGACTTTTGACAATCTGGAGACCATATAAATTTAGTATTTTTCCGAAGTAAATTATGAAGCGGTTCCAATATTTTCGCTTTATCAGGTAAATATTCGTGATAAAAGTTTACTTTCCCAAGAAACTGTCGAACATTTTTCTGACTTTTTGGTATTGGAAAATTTTTGATTGAAATTAAATTGTCTCTCACGGGACGTACTGTATTATTATGTATTATATGACCAAGATATTTGACAGAATCTGAGGCAAACATACATTTTGTGAATTTTAATCTAAAGCCTTCCTTTTTTATAGCTTCTAATAATTGTGATAAATGATTTACATGTTCCGAAAACGATTCTGAAAATATTAGTATGTCATCTATAAAATTTATTGTGAAATCAGTTAGATTATATTTTCTCAGAATGTTACCTAGTATCCTTTGGAAAATGGCTGGAGAGGTCTTCAATCCAAACGGCAAACACGTCCATTGGTAGTGGCCATCCTGCGTCACAAAGGCTGTTTTCTTTCTATCTTCAATTCTTAGAGGGATGGACCAGAAAGCAGAATTTATATCAAGTGTAGTGAAATATGTTGAGTTTCTGGTCTTCACCATCAAATCATTTATCAGTGGAAACGGTTGAGCTTGTGGTATTACAATTTTATTTAGGTCTCTAAAATCAATACATAATCTTGACCTTCTGTTGTCTTCTTTTTTGAAAGCTAACGTCACAGGCGCTGCAAACGGACTATAAGATTCTTCAATAAGGTTTCTATCAAGTAATTTTCTTATTTGTTCTTCTATTTCTTTTTTATCTTCTACTGAACATCTATAAGGTCTTTTACAACAATATTTATCAATGAGTAAGTCAATGCGTGCTTCATATTCTTTAACTGTGCCAATATCATATTTGTCTTTGGCAAAAATTGATTTGTATGAATTTACTAGTTTATATATTTGAGTTTTCTGTTCAGTATTCAAGTTACCCATATTTATTTTAAAATCCTTTTCTTGTATATGTTCATTGAAATTTATGAAACATTCTTTTTTTGTATCTTTGTCATTTTTCTGATTTATTTGTAAATGCTCATCTTGTATTAGTTTAAACCTTTTAATGATGTCCAATCCAATTAAAAAATCATATTTAAATTGTTCCCCATCAATTATATAAACATCGGCTTCATCCTCTATATCAAAAATTTTTATTTTTATAGTAGTCAAACCTACTGTTTTTCTCACACCATTAATTGTTATTAGGTTATCAGTTTTTGTATCAAATTCTTTTTCGTTTCGTAATCTTACTAACTTCGAATTAATTATTGAAACATTTGAGCCTGAATCATACACTCCAAATATCTCTATTTGTTTGTTTAATAACAGTTTGACTTTTATTAATGGTGTAGTTATTCGTTTTTTGAATCGTTATCATTAAGTTCAACATCAATCACCGAATGGTTTACTGTTCTGTTATAATTTTTCTTTTGATAATAATCATTAGTTTGTTTGAACCAACACTTTTCTTCAGGATGAAATCGAACACCTTTTTTAAATTTTCACATATCTTACATGGTTTCTTTATGTCCAATTTGCCTTTAGAATTCAAGCTATCTTGTTTAGAAGTGTAGAAGTTCTTTTTGTTCACTGTATATTCATATTTTCCAATTTCATTATACAAGCTTGCAGTTGATTTTACAGATTCTTTATCAATTTTACCCATTATATAACTTGGTAGTCCTATTACAATAAGTTTATCATTGTTTGTGTATCAATATGTTTGTTAACTTCTAATAACAGCTTTTCTTTTTTTGTAGCATATTCTAGTAAGGATCCATTTTGAAATCTAAAAGTGAATGCATATTTTATTTGTGACCAACCTTTATTTCCGTATGTTTCACAAAAATTGTCTTTCCATAGTGTCCACTCAGAGTTTACCGTTAATTTAATCAACATACTTCCATACCAATCTAAACATTCTTTTTCTAGGAGATGTTTCAAAAACTCAATTTTCTCTTCACTTTGTGTTACTTCATGTCTTTCACATTCATTTTCAAATTCGTTGATCCATTGGTTAGCATTTGAAGTTTTATTCGAAAATTTTTCTAACAAAAACCTTTCTGCAATTTTGCTTATATTTTTCTTTTCTTTTGGTATAGTATTGGATTTTATGTTATTTTGTGGGACATTCGTATCTTCTAAAATTTCATCTAAATATTGATCACTGAATTGCACATTCTTACCAGCATCTAAATACACGTTCGTCAGTTCTGCATTTAGTGGGATCCATACTGCTCGTGTTTGGTGTCTTTTTTTTAATGAATTCTTTATTTTCGCATAAACGTCAGTAGATATTACGGCAGTGTGTTTACTTGCGGGTTTTAGGTCATCAGGTACCTCATATAAGCGCCCGTCCGGTGTGCCAATTGAGGTTATGCCTATGATATTTGTCTTTCCATCTGCAGCCGCCATTAAAATAAATTTAAATTGCAGTTTCTCCATATTGTACGTATTGTATAGAATCGTTGTTTTGTAATGATTGGATTATTTGGAGATAAAATAACAAACCACGTGTTGCTCTGTAAATCAAAGATTTTATTTAACAAAAACATAACATATTTGGGTACACTAATAATCTAGTAATAAAATAATAATGATCATCTCACCTGTAAATCAAAGAAACAACGATTAAGCCTATTATTTAAATTCCAAATTCTCCCTTTTATCTATTATAATTACATTCCGTAAGATATTCAATTAACACGTCTCTTGTTTTGACAGTTCTCAATCCATAGATTCTAAATGTTATCTATGGTAACATAAAAAAGTTTAATTACTTAAATCTCATATGAACAATAATTATTAAAGAAAATATAATTTCTTTACATATATATCAAAAAATTCTAGTTATTAAACATTAATATTCGAGTTTTTTTTCACTTACCAAGTATGTATGAGATACAGCCACCAGGAACGATTCTATTCTACTCTTAGGTTTCGTGTACAGTGAGAGGTAGGCAATTTCCTTCGCGTCCTTTATCTTATTTTGTCTGGAAACAGATTTAAATAACACATTTTACTGTTTATAGTCTAAATCGTTAAAAAGTTTGTGGTATAGAGAAAATAGTTGAAGATTCATTTTTTAAGAAAAATAATATGAGTTTTTATGGTACATAAGTTAATGGGAGAGTTCTTAGATGAGGGAACTATAGATAAAAAAGTCATATACGACACATTAGACAAAAATCGAATCGAAAAACTTTACTTTAAAAGTGGAGGGAACAAGAGAAATAAATTGTAAGTATGTATATAACAAAGTAATAACAATATGAATCCCCGTACATGTGCAGGAGTGCAGTGAGTGCCCGCGCGGCGTGCGGCGCGCGCGCGGCCGGCGTGCGCGCGTGCGCGGCGGCCAGGCACCGCACTGCGCACGCGCCGCGCCCGCCCGCGCCGCACCACCACCCCGCCACCGCCGCGCCCGCCCAGCTCGCGGGGTGCTGCGGGGACACCATTTATTTCGACTATACTAATTAAATTACTGTTACATCTGTTGCTGTCTTGTTATTTATAAAACTTTAGTTTTAAACAACACGAAACTAACTAAACTAAGTTTGCAATATAAATTCCTAGTCTCAAAAATAAAATCTATGATGTACTCAATGAAGTTTGTGACTAGCTAATTCTGTATTGGACAAACAAACCACACGTTAGTGCCATCTGCTAAACACAAAACGAGGAGCATTAACTTAAGATTAACTTTCGACAATTATTATTGTATTACACTTATATCACTATTTTGAAGAAACAAAATAATAAATAACTACTTCTAAACATTCTCAATTGTCTATTTATTAAATACCCACTCACCAGTTCCATATACCTAGCGATTTTCGTCCCAAGCGTGACGTAATCATAATAATTGAAAACGTCAGCAAACTGGTGCATGAGACTTAGAACTGGCTCCCAACCTTCAGCGTCAACCTTCATAAACCGTTCTAGGAAGAAATCCTTCGAGGGATCCACGTCCAAACGACACTCTGGAGTCTTCTTATTTGATGGGGTCAATGAGAGTATGTCTGATGGTAATCTGGAAGGTAATACACAATTTTATAAGTAAACTTGATAGTGATTATGTAATATGGAGAGAGCCTGACATACTCTGGGAAATACCGTGCTATTACTGGCCAATTTGGAAAAAAAAGGAACAAGGCGGTGCTATTGCTTTGCGTACAACTTCGTCGTTGATGGCAAACGAATAATATGTGCAAATCCAATTATACACTTTGTACATCAACCATATTAAATAAATAAAAAAAAATATGCATAAAGTACAGACTTGACGAAAATACTGCCTAGTTGGCCGAGTGGTTGCAAGTGCGACTGCCGGGCAAGGGGTGTCGGGTTCGATTCCCGGGTCCGCCAAAGTATTACTGGGTTTTAAAAAAAATCTCAGTAGTAGCACGGAGTCTGGAATCGTGCCCGGTATATGGCAATAGGCTCACCCCCTATTACATGGGAATTATAACATAAATAGTGAAAAGTGGATGTCACATTGTACAGTGGCATTAAGTGCTGAAATGTGCACCTCAGCCTACCCCTTCGGGGATAAAAAGGCGTGATGTTATGTTATGTTTCAGACCATGTGTTACATACCTTAAGGTTAAGTGCGACTTACTTTGGGTCAGCATCGCTGAGTAGCTCTCTAAAACTGATGATGTGCAGCCAGTATCCTAGTTCCAAATGTTGGTAGGTGCAATCTTCTTCCGTTAGTTCCAAATCTTCCGCCTGAATATCTTTAAAAAATAAATTTGTTGTAAAAGAGTTTTTCTAAGAATAACCCCAAACTAAGATGTATTAATGTCAAGTGGTTTTGTAAAAGAAATGAAGAATGCAATTTTTGAGATGACAAAATTAATATATACTTTTGAATAGAAAATGAGTTTATTAAAAACAGGTACCAAGATGATACTCTACACATGAAAATGAGTATTTAAATGAATAACAAGTCTCTGACATTAGAAATTAATTTAATCGCTAATATGCGATGTCAATATCAAAAGACTTTGAAAAAGAAAAAAGAAAATGGATAGTATGAAAAGTGAGTGATACCAAAATAAGAGTTACTTGCACAGCCCCTATCTCCGCAACCCTTCAACTCTTTGCCAACAGTCTTCATCATGGCTTCAAAGTTTTTCTGGTGTGCCAACCGGTCGGTTCGTTCCTTCGGCATATCTCTTTGGAACCGGTCGAAAACTCCATCATCCATTTCCTCAACGGGGGCGCCCTGGATATTATCGTCTTTTAGTTCAAGCATTCTGACTAAAGTGCTGCTTTCTGCGACAATTAGGAAGGATTATGTTATGCACGGTCCGAAATGAGTGTTAGTTGCGAGTAGCTTCAGCCCAGAGGTGAAAGGAGTCCATGTTATCTACATAACTACTGCATTTCACGATGATAAAATACTATATGAATAGTTTTTGAGAAAATGACGTGATATCATAATAAAATTAGACATTATCGAAAAATCCAATACCTAATAATGTATTTAATTCATTTGATTTAATTCAGAATAATTAATTATTATGTTTTCGGTTTACTGACGTGACTGTTTGACGAGAAACCCAAATAGTTTCAAGCCATCCTACAGTAGCAGCGCGACAGTCGCCGTGTCGCGGGTCGCAGAATGCTGCTCGTGAATATGAGCCTATATTATGGCTTGAAACTAGTCGAGTACCTCGTCAAACAGTTACGTCAGTAAGCCGAAGAAATAATAATTAATTTAGTATATCTCACGTGAGAGCCAACAATATTTTAATGTACGATTGATTTCAAGTAGTAAGAATAACGAAGCAGGTAATGACAGTAGATTTAACCAATGATGTGGCAAGGAATTGTTAGCAAAAAGCTTATATTTTCAGCAGTGTATTACCTACATTATTCCAATTATATTATAATAACACTAACCTCTTTCTTGTGAACTGTAACATTGTATATTAGTGAGATGACAGTTCGTGCCATCCTTCTCGCACACCATACTCATTCCAGGCTCTACCTGTGTACATATTTCGCCTTCACCGAATTCTAAAAAAAAGATTCTAATTAAAATAATAAAAGCTAAGGCCTAGTAGTGGTAAATAGCGCTTAAGGTAAGACTGACTGACTCAAGAACTGAAACAACGTGGAATTAAATTTCTAAGAAATCTTTAATAAATTGCAAACACTTTCTTAAAGATAATAATGTTACCTAAATACACACCAATGGACAAAATATTCACCAAAATTGCGTATAATACGAGCAATATTCTATACATGCTAATTACCCCCTTAATCACAAAGAAATAAATATCAAAATAGATTAAAATACCTACATACCTAAGTCTTGCAGCACATTAACTTGTTTGAACAGACAGGACCATCCATACAGCATGGAACGGGCGAGTCCACCCATGAACCCTGGCTCCACTCGAATAACTTGCTTCAGGTGGAACATGTGTGTGTTGCGGTGTTTCTTTATCATATTCAACTCCGCCAGAATAAAGTTTGTTGAGGGCTGGAAAAGTAGAATTAAAAAAAAAGAAAAAATTTCATAAATCATAATGAAAATTGATATTCGTGTGTGTAAACATTTTAACTTATTATGACATGGTGTTCAAGAGTATATTAGATAGACTGGTCGCATACGTAATCGTCGAGCAAAGTGGTATCTCAAGTCGGAATTGGTCGGATTGGTAATTGGTCGAGTAGTTGGTCAGATAATCCCACTAGTAGCAAAGAGACAGCGTCTGGTGTAAAGCTTCAGGGTCGCCTCCTAATACATCAGACTCATAACTCTAAAAAACTAGGTCTAATTTCGTTATCTTCATAAGGTGGACTTCTGCCTTATCGTCGAGAAAAGCGAATCTTTAAGTAGGTATGTAAGAATCTATAACTCACCTCATATAAACTCAATTTAAAGGCCTCCTCAGCCGCCCCTAGCGCTTCATCAAAGTACCCCATCTCCAAATAGACAGACGCCAAAGAAACCAGCACGATATCTTTGAACCGTGGCTCGACAGTGCGACTGGCCGTCAGTATGCAGTGTAGAGCGTTCACATTGTTTCCACGCACCCGCCAGTATAACGAGGATAACGTGTATAGCAGCCATTTTGGGGCTAATTTCTGGAATTGAAATAGAACTTTTATAGAACCAATGGTGTTTAGTCTCCGGTTTATAATTTTTAATTTTGACTAATATAAGTAATTGCTAATTAATAGATCATACTAAGTTGCTGTTAGCTTCCTAAGGTATCAATATATTTTAACACAATTCCTATGAAAAATACGTCAAATTATCAATATCAATAATCATTTTTCAGATACGAGGTTTTGAGGAAATCTTATACTATTATATAAAGCTGTACTTAGTTAGTTTGTTTGTTTGAACGCGGAAAACTACTGGTACGATGCGAAAAAATATTTTTGTGTTGGATAATCCAATTATCAAGGAAGGCTATAAAATATTGAATTTGGCTGCACGGTTGGTGCGGTGGCTGGGCAACCGGCTGCCGTGCAACGTGTCGCGGGTTCGATTCCCGCACAGAACAACACTTTGTGTGATCCACAAATTGTTGTTTCGGGTCTGGGTGTGATGTGTATGTGAACTTGTATGTTTGTAAACGCACCCACGACACAGGAGAAAACCCTAGTGTGGGGCAACGTTTAAAAAAAAAAATTACGGTACAATCAATAGGCGCCAAACAGAGCGGGTGAAATAGCACTAGTAAATCGACAAAAGATATTTCCGGCACGCATAATTTGGTAAAACTTTTGTAATTATCTCACCATCTGAATAGCGCTGTATATCCTTTGTCCGACCTCAGCGTCTTGCATGTTCCGCACTGACTCCATGTCTCCATTCGCTACGTACTCCAGGAGCTTCTCGCGAAGGTGCTTCGTTACGATTACATCGCTGAATATCTGCGGCCTGAAAGTAAAGTGAAATCAATTTATATCGAGTCACTGTTGCAAAAATGTTGTATTGGTTTTTGGGTGAAACACTCTATTTAAAAGTAATTCTAATTTGGAGTACATACTTTTATGCTATGTTTTGATTGTATATGTATATAGTATATGGTACGGTATATGGCAATAGGCTCACCCCCTATTACATGGGACTCATAACATAAATAGTGAAAAGTGGGTGTTACATTGTACAGTGGCATAATGTACACTTCTGCCTACCCCTTCAGGGATAAAAGACGTAATGTTATGTATGTATGTTTTGATTGTCTGGACAACCGAGGTTGTCGGTGAATTAGCACTCAGGTTTCTGACATTCGAAACCATACGAACCCGTTCGCGCGGACGATACTAAGCAATCGGTGCCACCCCTGGACATGGCATCACCAGATGAGCTAATTCGCTACCAGTTTTCTAGGAGTTAAAACTTCAAAGTTTAAAACTGGTTAAGGCTAAAGACTCACGGCGCGAATTACTCCCGCGCCGCTGAGGCAGAATGGAGACAGAATTTTCAAAACTCACGATACTGCAGTTTTCTGCCGCCGCGGTTGTGATTATCAACAAAAACTTGGCGGTTGATTATAGCAAGATGGCCGTCGGATTGCGATCGCCCGACACTCGATCACAGAGCGTACCTACGTGTGCTAACCGACCGCCGATGCAGTGGGAGCCGCAAACAATTGCAACCGCCGTGGGCGTAAAACGGTGTACCTATTTGGTTCTATTATCGCAATTCGCAATTAAATTCGAAGTATATACAGCTAAAACTTACTTCTGTGATTTCTTCTGCGTGAACGTAGCCGCTTCCTTGTCATTGGGACAGGTCGGAGGGTGCCACGGCAGCTCATGTTCTACATTGGCCGGCACCCCGATTTTATCAGTCAGTAAAGTTTTTAATCTGTAAGAAGCAAAGATTGTTATTAAAATATAGAAATTAAAAAATATGTTAAATGGTTGTTAGATCATCAAAGTTTAACCCTTTGAGTACCGTCATTATAGACACAATTAAAGAACAATAGGTTGCGGTCACCGGTGTCCTCGCGGTGTTTAACAGTTTAATGATTATCCCCTCATTTGCTATTTATTTTAATCAATTTTCGAATTTCAAATCTTTATTTTAGAGGACAGACCATGGCAGTACCTACGTATCAGAAAAATTTTTACAATCGTCGACTTGAAATGGTGACTTAATCTAGTTGCAATTTGGATAACGTCTGTATCACCAACAATAGTTACCTTATGCCCTTATTCTCGAAAGGTAAAAATATTTGATAAACAGCTTCTAAATTCTCAGGGAAAATGTCTGAATTGTCTTTGCAGTGCTTATTAGTGGGCCATTCTGAATCCGTATCAAATTCTTCAGTATTTCTGCTTATTTTTAATGTAGTTGGGTACCTGAAATCCACAAAGCAGGTCAGATTAGACAGATGTATTGTTTAACCTTTGATTGAAAGTGCATAAACATTTATCAAATAGATTTGCAACTGTTATACTGTTACATACTAATAATTATACACGCTATTGGGCACACACCAATTAAGTTACTTAAGTAATTACTTAGTATCACTACCCCACTGAATGTCTCGTTGGCTGAGTGATCGCAAGTGCGACGTAGTTCGATTCCCGGGTTAGGCTAAATATTGAAATATTTAAAAAAAATGTCAGTAGTAGCAAATCGTGCCCGGTATATGGCAATAGCCTCACCCCCTATTGGATACATATGGGACTCATAAACATAATTAGTGAAAAGCGGGTGTTACATCGTACAGTGGCATTAACTGCCGTAATGTGCACTTCTACCTACCCCTTTGATTATAAAAGGCGTAATGTTATGTCATGATTGTACTACACCAATTAAGTTAATTTTTAAAAACCGAAGTGTAAAACAAAATGTCTACTGGGCCTTTATCTTGCCCTTATCCCAAGTTACTGAGGATCAGTGTAATATGTCTTTACCATTCTCCCTGACGCCAGCACATCACAAACACCATTCCCTTTCTGACAATCTATTCATTATAATAAATTGTATGTAAAGTACTTACAATATAATCCCTGTATCATACTCCGATATGTTTTCCTCACTATCTATTGCAGCCGCCTTCTTAGCAGGCGGTGATTCTTTCTTCTTCTCTTTCGTCTGCGCCTTTGGAGGCTCTACTTCTATCGGTTTCTCTACTTTCGCTCTCTCAATCTCCTCTTCAATTATTGTGTTGGTTGAATAATCTGTTCGATCCAAATAAATAAATAATAATATATAAAAATGTAAAGTTCTATTACATTTTTATATGTTAATGGTCATCGAAAACGATTTTCGAGGACGCTATACCAGTTTCAAGCTACACCGGGGTTCATAATAATGAGCTGTGTCAGCAAGTAACGTGATTCACTGTGTATGCAAATTACATAAAAAGACGTAAATATTATTCAAATTTAGTATGTCTTAAAATATAAATTTATCAGTAAGTAATGAATATAAAGCTATTAAGAACTAATTTCCATCCTTTTGATGCAACAATAACTACTGCATAACTTTATTTTTCAATCATCAGTTAAATCCTAACTGTAGAATAAAATTGACATTAGACACATTTTAGTATGGTATTCCTCAGTTAAAATTTATCTGGCGTTGGAAAAATCGGCCCTAAGTTGACAAATGATAGGTATTCAACATTCAGTAAAAGAAAAATGTACCTTTGATAACATCAGGGAATAAATCCGGGAATGTAGGTATGGGGCCAATTTCCTTCAATATTTCGTCATCAGGCACAATGAGCTCCTCGTCCGGAGGTAAATTATCTGTATTTATATTTACATGCCTGCCTATATGTTTTACCAGCCGTTGTAAACTGTTTGCTGAATCATAGATCATGACACCTTTTTCTTTCAACCAATTCTCATTGTACGTCGGTCCATCTAAGAAGTATTGTATGAGGGAATATTTATCGCCTTCAGTTTTTACATCTTTTATATTCAGTCCGGTTAATTCAGCTATTTTATCAAAGTTTTTGTTGACATCCCTGTAATCTGTGAACATAAATAGTTAGTTAAAACATGTATATATATATATATTTCATTCAATAATAAAGACAATTTTATTTAAAATACTATTTTGTTTTAACGGAATCGCCAGCTAAACAACATAAATACGGTTTATGCAAGTGTTGCACTTGTGTAAACTTTTAATCAGGTACCATACCACAAACTTTATAGTTCATCATCTTCATTAATAGCCTATAAATGCCCACTACTGAGCAAAGCCTCTTCTCACACAGAGAAGGTTTGAGCATTAATCATCACGCTTGCTTAATGCGGATTGGCGAATACAAACTTATAATTACTTCATTAGTTTTCCTTGACCTTTGATCAACGCTGTTTAGATAATGTTGGAAAGTACATATATGTAACTCGGAAAAAGTCACATTGGTACTTGCTGTTGGTAGGTTCCGAACCCGCACCCTCGTCCATGAGAAGCGGACGTCTTAAACCTCCGGGCCACCACGATATAAACTTGATAGTATAATTATAATCTTGATGGTTAATTTATTTAATTAAAATATAACATATAATACATTGTTAAAGAGTACTGTCTTACCATATTCCTCAGTCTGTTTCATAGTCCTTAGTAAAGCAGCTTGTGATTTCATCCATAGAGATTCTCTATCACCATACTTAGTCAGCTCTTCTCGAAGTTTGCTCAGAGTTCTGTAACATTTTAATAAGTTATTTACAAGAATTAACCTCATAGAAGCAACATTTCAGAATCATAGTTTTCATTTCAGAATCATAGTTAACAAACTTCTCTTCTTTCAAATAGTTAAGTAATCTCCTCTATTCATTTTACAATTCGTATAGAAATACTCACTCCTTAACAATTTCCATTTTCCCCATAAAATAGGCATTGCACAAAACAGCATTCCTATGTTTATCAGCCAAGCTGAATGTAGGATTTAACTTCAAACATATATCATAGTGTTTCACAGAGCTATTGAAATCACCTACTACTGCAAATGCATTAGCAAGTATAAAATGGTTGATGGGACAATGCACATCATGGTCCACTGCTGCGCCCAGTACTATTACGGCATCATCAGATACTTTGCTACGATGAAGTATCAATCCCATGCTCAACAGAGGAATGTCTTTGTATTCCCTGAAATTAGGAACAATTTTATATTAGGTTTCGTAAATTATAAACTAATGTCGGAATACTGAAACGCTACTCAATTTTAAGTCGTGCTTAACCCGTTGAAATCCATCCCCTAAATTTGGTCATAGAAAAGTAGTCTCTAAACATTGGAAATAAGGTCTATATTGTAATGTAATATTAGGGGAGAGCGGTCACCGGTGACCGCTTGGGGTTTTATGGGTTAAGTTTAGTTCTATCTCTACAAATTCTTTGTAAAATGACAGAGATGGCACGATATTTGAGCACGACTTAAAATTGAGTAACGTTTCAGTATTCCGGCATTAAATCTCTTCAAAACATCATAACATTGATGTGTAACATTTACAAACTATATTTCGAAGACCTAGTAGATACTTTCTAGATGTTAGTTCCTTAATTGAAATTGAAACAGAATATTATTTAATATTCTGTTTCAATTAAGGAACTAACATCTAAGGTACAGGCTTGGCTTAATTTAGATGTTAGTATTTATAAACTGTGTGTCAAATATTTTTGTTACAACAAACATTTTATTAAACAACATTGAAGCAGATAAGTTTAACTATAAGTAGATTTACCTTGGTGCATAATGCACTGCTCTTCGGCTGCATTCAATGGCCTTAGGAGCATTTCCCCTGACCCTCCAGTACAAAGAAGCCATATTGTAATGTATCCATGAAGAATTGTTCTTTTTAAGAACTCCAGCCAACCAATGACCAAACTGATCCACGCTCATATCAGATATATCTGAATTCTTCGGTGACATATTCTCTGGCATAGAAGTTTCAGGACTTGCACTCAAATTTTCCCTCTTTTTCATACTCTGAAATTTATATCATTTAAATAATTACTCAAAATTACTTAGACACAGGCATAAAGTAACGAAACATACCTCCAAATGTTCAAACGCACACATACTAAATGTCAAAGACGAAATCCTTTTACAATCAGGAATATCACCATCACCATAATTTAAATTACGGACTGGGAACTCCTCTGTACCCAGTCTCGTTTTACCTTCTTCCAAGGAGGATGTGTACCAGTCCACGGTATGTAATTGGCCCGCTCTCACACAATAATCATTCTCATTGAATAAAGTTGTGATGTCAGTATTCTTCCGCAGTTCAGCCCATAATTTTCTTATTATTTGTTGCCTTTTAGACAAGCTATAATGTAAATTAACAATATTCTCCCAGCGTCTATCTTGATTGAGAAAAGCGAGTAAGTCATACGGTTTTGCCAATTCAAATGGAGAATCCAGCTGTAATCAATATTTTAATGTTTAATATTTTTTACAACAATTAGGTAATTTTTAACAATTATGGTACCAATCTTAAATCCTATTCCTTCATCATTTTCCTTTTCTACATTATCCTAAGAAAATTATGCTATTTTGTAATTTGGGATTTCAACATTCACATAAGTTTTCAAACTTTTAATAGAATAAATTACATTATAAATGAAGCTTTTATTTATCTTTCAGCATTATTTATAATGTAATTAATTACTTTATTATGCAATAAGAATAACTAATTAAAATATAACAAACATCTACTTTGTGTCAGCAATGTATAAATAAAACTGAACGTGGGTAATAATAAAAACTATATCTTTCAAGGTGGACTTAGCAAGATGGATTGAGTGAGAAAAGTGTACAAATTGATATTTTAGTATAATCAAATTCTGTTTCAATAGTCTCGTGATGAATGACGCCTAATTTATGCGGAAGGAACTCTTATATACGGGAAATAATTATCATACCCTAGGCTGGATAAGACCTCCTTCAGTGACCATCCAATGCGTCGAACCTTGTATCTGAATAGTACAAAAACTGAATAGACACCAAAGCTTCATGAACTTCATTTTTACACTCTTTAAATTAATGAGAATACTAGAAAATCATATTATTCACAAATAAACTGCAACTTCTCATATATGAATTCCAACAAATTCCTTTTTCAGGAATATTATCATTGTAAAACAGTTAACGATTGATTACACTAGCGGCGAGAAATGACGTTCATTCATTCATAAAAAATCATTTGATTTGACATTTTTGTGAATGACATTAACCCCACTAGTGTTGCACAAATTGAAATACTAATACTTTTAGTCGATTCAGGAAATAACAACCGTATACCTTTTTACCAATAAATTACACTTAGAGTACGAGTCCCATTCCCATTCCATGCTATATAAAAATATAAATAAAACGCGTCTAAAAATGTGATGATTTAAAAATATCCACATAAAATTTCTTCTCTTGACCCGGAAATCAACTTTCGAGAATCATGTCCTTACTGTCTTGAATAGTCTTGATAGTCTTGTATCTAGCAACTCGACCAACGAGGAGGCATCAACTCTTTCTACATCCCAAATAAAATGTATAACATCATAATAACCATGAGTAAGGGCAACAACGTCAATATCCCGACCTGTGATAATTTACTACTCTCTTCTCTACACCTCAGCCTCATTCGACTAAAATAAATATCAATCTTTGGTTACCTATCAGTCAATCTCTATATATACCTTTAAAAATTTATTTATATAGTTTTGCCATAGTTTTGCTATCAATTTCTAGTTCAATAAAAACTTTTTGGAGAAATATTCTGATAATAATTTTGATTTAATCATGATTCAATCCAACCAATGACTGTTTAAATACAAAGGAGGATTTCGATACTGGCAAGATTTTAAATACGACAATTGAGCGGGAACTTTGAATCAATAACCGGACACGTAGTAATTATTTTGTTCTTAAAAATAATAAAGAAAGGATTTAAAAAAAAACTAAGCAGCGTTTTCATGTGTCTCTAATATAATATTTGTGCTTCACAAAATCCTGAAACTTGAAACAACGCCATCAAAACAAGACAGTAACTTATAAAAAAATCAAGTAAGTACTGTCTACGGTACAACGGGCCTTATGAAGGGGTGTACGTACCTATCGTAGGAGGTATAAACCCTCGTTACCTACACACTGAACTCTTTGTACAAACTCTCGCCATAGAGAGCCTAATGCGCATGTCCAAATAACCTCATCTATTCCACGCCTTAATTCATCCACAGAAATTGTAATATTGTGAATCCACTGCTACAAATTGCATTCGTGAATAAACACAAGATAACTTACCAATTGCCAACTAAATTGTTTAGTTCGTGTTTGCTAACATTGATCTCTCGGTAATTTTTAATTCATGAAACGTCGATGTTGCACAAATGTGTCAAAGGAGGCGTTGTTACAGCGTCAATATTCTTTAGGGATGATAAATTTTCTGTGACGTCGAAGTGCAGCATTGTTCATATGGAAATTAGTAAAAAATATGTAACCCCAGTGTGTTAAAGTATTGAATGAGTGAAAGATAAAATGGTAAATGACGCACAAGTACAGTCGCCGCCAGATTTGGATGCGCGTGGCGACGAACGCACAAACGAAAAGTGTGATGTAAATAACAGTGTTAAAGTTTTGGAGTATAAGGTCGATACCTACACCTTGTGCAATTATAGCTTTACTTATTTTAACAGACAAATAATTTTACAATTTCATTTTAAAGGGACTGCTCTGGACATGTGGTTTGAGGCAAATTTGTTTAACTGCACTCTGGCTTCCATTAGGTGCTCTAATATTTTGTTATGTGACCGCGTCTATGTTTCAAGCAGATGACATACATGAAACGCATTGTAGGGTGAGTAACTATACATATTTAACTTGACCTGAAACCCTTACTGAAATATAAATTATCTAGGTAGTAAGTGGGTAATGGCTTGTAGGTCACCTATAAAAAGAACATGGTTGACTGTTTACCTTTTTCTATTAAATTACGTAAACAAATAAGTGTAAGCACAGTTATATAACTAGAGCTACCATAATCTTTATTCATTGAAAGCCACCATTCACCGTTATTTCTTAATTACTCAAGCCTATAAGTAATTACTTAAGTAGGTACTACCTACTAAATAAGTACTACTATTACGTCTAAGGCATCGCGATTTTGCAGTATTTATGTAGCCCATGCTGACTGCAGGAAACTTTGAAATATTTACGAAGTAGGCACCTATCTTCGGATCTTGCACTTTCGTGCATATCAGTGGTGCCTGGTAGAGCCTTGCACCTAAATTCTTAACTACTTGAATAAACGTTATAAATAGAATAGTAGGTGGTTTAAGGCACTTATACCTATGTACTATAGCTACGAAAAATGTCTGAAAGAAACGTTTTTGTATCGAAAGATTCCAGGAATCGAGTTGTTTGGGTCAAAGTTTAATGACCTACATATCGACCACCCTTAATCCAGTCACGAAACTAAATAGTAAGCAGGATTATCCTTTGCAACGTTATAATGCGTAACAGTAGTAACTAATTAGGGTAATAAATATCTGTGGCCCAACTTAATTTGTAATTATTTTGTGGAATAGGCCACCATACAAACTCGCACGTCACTGATGGTAAACAATCGATAGTGGTTATAGACACTTGCAACACCAAAAGGATTACAAGTGCGTTGCTGGCATCTTGAGGATTTTTGATGAAGTGTTGATTGGATCTCCGTTCCTCACCTCATTCACACGGCGTTGTTTTAGGCCCATTTAGTGTAAAGCCGCCGTATCTACGGTTGAGTCGCTCACATTTAATTTGTTTTTAATTGCAGGTTTACAATGTAGTACCATCAATTAGTGCGATTACCGGTATAAGTCCACAGAGATATATTTGGAGGATGTGCATCGCTTTCCACCTTGGACCAAGGTTGTTGATAGGTTCCTTATACTATAACTACCACAAAGAGCGCACGGCTCACATTACCGAGGAAAAGGTATGATTTCACTACACATCTTTCATTCATCATAAAATCCAACTAAAAATTGGCTATATTTTATTTTCATCTCGTTGGTCTAGTCGTCGCAAGCGCGAATGCCTGTCAAGTAAACTAAGGTTCGAGTCCTGGTTCTAACAGAGTATTAACAGACTTGGTTATACTAGTTTCAATAGTCCTAGTAGGTAGTCCACCTTTAAACGTGTACCTAATAAGGTCGTATCTGATAACATAAAGACATCGTAGAATTGTGAAAAATTTGTGGTAGACTTCAGCTTAGGTATATCCCGTGTGCTTCATAATGCTAATGGTATTTTCATCAGAGATTAAAACAGAGATTATAAGTAATATAATATAATATTACATCAACACAGAAAGACGGTTCCGCAGAAAGTATCGTTCATCCAATTTAAACGACTTAACTTTTAACCTTTATACCTCAAAGGTTACACAAGTAAATAAGTTATCGGGGCTGAATGCAAGTTTAAATATAGTCCAGTCGTATTATGATGCACAAATGCTCCATCATCTTAGTTTAGTTATAAAAATTTATTTATAACAATGAATTTATTTTTTTCAGGCTCGGACTACGGCGACCAAATTAGGAAAAGCATGCTATTGGCTAAATTTTATAGAGCTGTTTGCACTTACAGGCGTAACATATATTTCCAATAGGGAGAACTATTGTAAGTAAACTTTTTTAACGTCGATATAATTAACTTTTCTCCTAAAGGCTTTCTGGGTAACATATGGGTGAGATTTTGCGAAATTTCTTTATAACACCATGTATTTCTTTTAGATTCAGTTCTATCAGTGAACAATCTAATTCCCAATTCTGTTTCTAGTTGTTCACGAGAAGATATTCATAGTGTTCATGGTAACGGCTTTGCTGCATATGCTATGTCGCGCGCGCGTCGGATGCATCGCAAGCGACGTCGTAGAACCGGTGAGGACCAACAAACTCGTATGGACACTGTTCTACGTCGCCATAGCTTCCACCGTGGGACTCATTATATTCTTCTTGCGACATCGGCTGCTGTGTCGACCTTTAGGTAAAGTTTTTTTTTTAAATCCTTTTGTCTATTGTTTACTTAAGCAGTGATATAGGTACTCTGTTTAATTGTATAGTTTCGATTAAGATATACAGACTGAAAACTAGGTAATTTCTAAAGGCTTTAAAATTAAAATCTTTTAAAATTCTTTTTGTTGGGAGATTCAGTCAATGAATGATTTCTTAGATTAGGTAGTTGTGACCTTTTATTAGGCATTTCTCTTTTATTTAGGCTGTGACCTTTCCATGAACCGATATAAAATGTCATATTTAGCGTGAATGATGGTTCGAAGTTGCTCAATTGATCGAAACTCTGTAGTAGGTCTATTTGCTCCAGTAAGTGGATAAGGGCAAAAGGTCAATAATGGTGTCCCCTTTGAATATTGAATATGGGATTGAACAACCATCGGCATTGAGCATGGTGATAAAACTTAGAATGAATAAGGATAATGGTCTATTGTACAATACTGTTAGCAACAAACAAATGATGACTTTCCAGCCCTCATCTCCTATTTTCAAGATGCAAAGGAGTTTTTCTGACCTACGTGATGTAATACTCAACTGAATTTTAACAATATATTTTAATAATATTTTTCGCGTATCAAACATTCCTCTTCTATCATGTTGAAGAAAAAATGGTCTCTAGCAGTTCTACGTTATGTTTTCAGCATTCACATGGTTCTCAGTATGTGAATACATCTTGGCGACGGCGAACATGGCATTCCACGCCATTGTGGTCCGCGACCTGCCTCAGCACGAACTTCAAGTGATGTGTCCTACTCACAGTAAGACGAACTGAACGTGTACATACATAATTTGATTGTGGATGGATTCGGTCAGCGACGTGTAACGGAATATGGTTATTTGGACTAGACTTTGGCTAAACTGGCGAGATTATAAAAATATTGATCATTCGCTTCCAAATTTTACATACATAGGTAACTTTATTTATAGTGAGGCTTCCATATTAAAATTTACAAATCTTCCGCGATTTTGTGTTTCTTTTTTTTAACTCCACAGAAAAAGTTTGAAAGCGAACGAATGATATCCAAAAAGTGTTAACTTGGGTTTTGATTGTTATAATGAACGAATCCTGTAGTTTTAAAGTAGCCTTATGCTTAAGCAGAGCAAAAAGGGGATTGTTAAGAAGACGACATTCGTTAACGTGTAATTATGTATAGCTGGATGTATTGACGTCTGTTTCAAGAAATAAGTATGCATGTAAGTATATTAAATACAGTGTTATGCGCTATGTACAATATGAAGTGACTACGTTCATAGAATACGTATTAAAATTATCAGAATTTTATATGGAGAGTGGTTAAGTAAATATGGTTTCCTTTCAGTCATAGTACCTACTCAGTTTTTATTGTTTGAAGTTTAATAGCGTGCGTCTATGCTTACATGAAACCGCCTTCGGGGCTTTTATACTTAATCTGAGACTAAGATATGAATGCTTCTCAATGAAAGAAAATACGTACCTCATAAAGACCTGCTATCAAGACCGAAATTATTAGTGATCCTTCTTCCGTGTCAATTTTTTGATCTTTGATCAAGCTTTACCAAGTAGCCATAGATTGCTAGTTGATTTTGGTATTTTACTTATTAATTCAAAGAGATAATAAGAGTATATTTAATTAGTAATTACCTAATAGTCATTGAAATAATGTAGATAATAATTGCCTTATGTATTTGATAATATGTAGATATTTTGTGTAATACTGAGAAAATCGTAAAATTGTACAGACGTGTACATTGTTCCCACTGGCTAATAAATTAATAGTAGCTTAATTATTATATTACATATAGTACACTGCCCACAAACAAATCGGTGGCTGTATTTGTAGACTCGTTTTCATAATGTGTTCAGAGGCTGTCGTGTGTGTTATTTGTAAATGAAGATTACGATTGCTATAGACTTATTATTTAACGTTACAACAGGTTTTTACAATAACTATCGTGAGACATACTGAATTAACTAAAAATAAAGGTTTACTCACTTATATATACTGAAAGGCTTCTATTCACAGACGGAATGTCCCTCATGAGCAGGGTCCTTATAACCACAGGTTATTAACGTACAAATCGTGAAAATTTCGTGCATAGAACCCAGCTTTTCTTTACATCAGATGAATTTGGATACTACAACTATTGTATCTACGAATCTATTTTTAAGAAATAAATTAGACAGTAAGAGATATATAGGTAGGTACAATAAAATTACAAGTTAAATACATAACCTCGTTTTTGTTCTTCAGTGACTAATTACCTAAATTTATAAATACTAACTAGCAAACCCGGCGAACTCCGTTTCGCCACCAGATGGCTTCGTTTGGTGATTAAAAGGTAAAGAAACATTTTTTCCCGAATTTGCTATAAACCTCACGGAACCCAAGACCTTTCCAACGAATGCAAAACCGTGGAAATCGGTTCGTGCGTTCTGGAGTTATAGCGTCAGGAAGGAAAACCCGATTTATTTTCATATAGTAGATAATAATTAGTTTTAATTTCTCATATAAATATATCGTGCAATACAGAAAAGAATCTGTTAATTAACGGAAAATTAATTTATGTAGAGGCTCGCCGAAAAATTCACATGATTCAACATTTTATGAAATACAATGGTCTTCTAATTTCCGACCTGTCTTTTGAATGGGAGAATCCACAATATTATCGCCTTAATAGCGTGTTCAACTGGATATGATTGAGTACATCTCAATGAAAATTTGAATCTAATGTTAAAGACGGCATTTTATTTAGCTTTATTTTTGCGGATTAGTATTATAACTTCTGTACCTAGAAAGTGAAAAGATAGGATTATTAAGATGTAGTTTAAGTACCATTATTCTACTTAAGTTTTTATTTCCGCGGTTTCAGTAAATATTCCTATAAATGTTGAGGTACCTAAATAAACGCCTTGTTCAATTAATTGTTCGATAACTGAAAAGGACCAAAATTATTATTATTATTAAATATAACTACAATGTATTCAGTCTAAACATATCTTAACTAAAAATAATCGAATACTTATTCGAGTACCTAATTATTTTTATTTAAGAAGTTGCCAATCATGAAATTTATTATATAAAATATTTACCTAAGGTAAAATATAAGGTAAATGCATTATACTTATTTGCTTGAACTAAATATTATTAAAATATTTATTTTCGGTACCATAATATATTTTTGGTACCTTACCCATTAATTGTAGTTTCTGTAACGTTTTGTCCGGTTTCGGTAGGTACAAAAATAACAACTGCTGAATATAATTTTAGGTGCTTCCATATTAGTGAAGATTTTGTGCATCAATATGTAGATACTTACGTATACAATTCCAACAATGTATAATATTTGAATATAATTATAATTATTTGTAGTTTCTATTACGTTTTATGTGGTTTCGTTACAAAAATAATAACAACTGAAAATAATTTTTAGGTACTTTCAATGATTCATTGATGAAAATTATTTGTACAGATTTACCAATGGTATAACATTTTAATATATTATTATTATTATTATATTTAAGCATATAGTATTATATTTCATGTAATAACTTGTATAAGTATTAATGAAACTGCATACAATGAATTGATTAGATATTGACATAGTTTTAATTAAGTCGTTGTTAAATTTGAAAAGTTTTGTTAGCAAGTAGAAGTTTGTTAACCTATGTTTATTAATATAATATATTTTATTGATATTAATATTATATTTCCATGCTTTAATATTTATATTAAGATTGTGTATCCTTATAGTAAGAACATTATAGTTATCACAATAATTTCTAAGTATTGTATCTATCATATACCTATACTTATTAAAAATAAACACTGACAATGAAATAAAAAAACTGCAAAAACGTAACTAGTTAATTGGTTAAAATCACATAATGAAGTTTCAATGTAAAATTTTAATACTGGTTTATCCCACATTTTATTTCATATTTCATACATTCTTAGTACCTAAAAGATAACATAATTACGATTAAGTATTGAATAGATATTATTATTTTAATAGTGTCATGACTGAATATGTTTTGCTGTTATTCATTGAATATTAAAGTTACATTTATGATAGTTACCGTATCGTCTTTATAAATCAGCTAAGCAAATAACTTTTGTCCGGTTCTGTGGGCAGACATTTGTTTTAAACAATAAAATATCTCGTAATAAATTGTAGTATACTTGTAATTTTGCTTCTTCGTGTATCAAACCTTCCCTAATTGCTGCTTCGGTAAGTACTTATATATATATATAAACTTGATAACGAAATACTTACTCTACTTTAACTCTACTCCTTTTATTTAATCTATTTGTCTAACTATTAAAAGTTATAGACATTAGAGCAAGCGACATACCTGATAGACAAGGATAACCTCATCAAATCAACTATTATCTATCTATATAGGAGCATGCGACATACGAACTAAGTGTAAGTGGTGACAACACAACATCAACAACTAAAAAGTGCAATACAACTTGGTAATTTCTAGAAAGAAAACAGAAACACCGCTAGTAAACATCAGTATCTCGACTATTTATGTTACCGCAGACATATCGTTGATAATAAAGACTGCTGGGCAAATTATTAAATCTATTTTAATATTTTCATACAAACCTAATTATTTTTCATAGTTTAATTTACGTAACTAAAACAAAAAACATTAAAAGTTCACAATTTGACCTAATTTTACAGAGCAAACAGCGCCATCTGTGAATATTCCAACTTCACATTTTGTTCCTACAGATGGCGCTGATGTCGACAAAAACACGAGATAACAGAATGCTCTGTCTCTTTCTTTTCAAATATGGCGGCATTCGGGAGCTAGGGCAGGTACTAAGTGTATATGTGTTTGTGTATACGTGTATAAAATTTCACGTTTGACCACTCTGGACACGCACACATACAAAGAAAACCGGGTGAATGCGGGGCAAGGGGAGTAACGTCCGTGAAGTTGTGTCAGCATATGCGCAAACGAGGTGCGCATTCGTCGCGTGCGTTGTCGGGATTCTTTGTGCCATTCTTCGCATACCAATAAGAGTATATTCTTTAAATTTACTCCTAAATTGACATTTAATCAAAATTCGTCCCTTCACTTCATCTTCGGCCTCCATAATAGGTGAGTAAAAATTATTTTTGACACAATTTTCATACAATCAAGTCAAGATATAAGTGATTTTTATTAGGGAATGTCAACAATGCGATCGCGATCCTGCAATATTTTACATAGTTGTCGTGTTTGCTTCGCTGCGACTTCCGGTCGCTCGGGTGTCGGCATTTCGCGATGTAAACATTATCTAGTTTTAGGATTCAGCTGCATTTAGGCAAGCTGTCGGGAATGAAGTGTGCTCAAGGTGCTTTTGTGTTGTTAAATTCGCTTGAGTGTGCTTACTGGGATGGCGCAATTTTCGAAAGACGCGGTATGGTATCGTTCGCCTGCGATACACTTCAGTCGCGTTGGTGGCTGCATGCGATTTGACGTATTCTGCGCGCAGTGATGTCACTTGTCAGCTTATTTTATGAAATGTCAAACGTTTTACATGTAACGCGCGAGTGAATAGTAAACAAATTGACAGTGAAATTGATATCGATGCTGTGAAATTAAATACGAGTGACATGGACTGTTATTACTCGAAATTTTATCCAAGGCGTGAGTATTTATTGAAAATAATTTGTAAATAAACAAGAAAATTCCTTACATACTTTCGTCCATTCCTAACATAGTTTGGTAAAGTTTTTGCATAAATTAAATATTTTGTGAAAAATCAAACGTGGATAGTTAAATTAATTGGTTTA